CCCCAGAGCTGGAAGAGGGCTACCATAATTCCCATCCCAAAACCAAAGGAGGAGGGAGTATGTACCGGCCCATCTCTCTCCTCAGCTATGTAGGCAAGATGAAAATGGAACCCCCACATGAACACCTCCATGGGTTCACAAGGGGCATGAGAACAGCACACAGCATTGCCACGCTCTTAAGCACAATCAGCTCTGTCAAATCTGTGATAGTATTCCTAGACCTGGAGAAGGTTTTTGAATTAGCAAGTCCTCTTGCTATTCAGGAGGCCCTGATCCAGAAGGGAATCAGAGGAAAGCTCTGCTTGGATAAGTGACTATTTCAGGAACAGAACAGCCAAAGTCAGATTCCAAGGTCACCTATCACAGCGCATGCCACTAGAAAATGGAACGCCACAGGGTGGGGTCCTCAGTCCAGCCCTTTTTAACACCCTAATGTCCTGTATCCTCAACATACACCTTGGGTTACAAGATCATCTCTTATACAGACGATCTTGCAATCATCTCCACTGGACCACACTGCCTAAGTAGAGCCCAGCACTGTTTGGACCTTGTATCTGAGGAGAAGTGTTGTAGGACAGGAATAAAGATCTCTGCACCCAAATCAAAAGCCATGGCTCTGAGACACAATGTTCAAGGCACAAGTCTGAGAATCCAGGGAATGGACTTGGAGTGGGTCCAGGACTTCCAATAACTTTGGGTAAGGATTGACCGGACCCTCTCCTTTAAAAAGGAAAGCAATTAGTGGGAGACACATAGGAACTAGACATAAAGTAGTAAGATCATATTATGCACATGCTGTCCGTCCCATTGTGGACTATGCTTCTGTCTCCCTAATTGCCACAAAGCCATAATTAAGAGAAAAATTGGAAACACTCCAAAACGAAGCTGCCAGGATCATTCTGGGTGCCCCAAGGTGGACGAAGGTCCTCAACCTCCTCATGGAGGCAAACCTTTTCCCCCTGGACTCAGGAATTGATCTACTGGCAACACAGTTCCTTTCAAAGGTCACCCAGGCACCCAGAGAAACACCTAGAACAAGATCACGAGCTCTTTGCAAACAACTCCTGGTTGACATACACAACCATGGTGTTGATACACTATCAGCTCAAAGATCAACTGCTTGCCAAGGGGATGGACTCCCCCCACCCTGGCTTTACTGAAGCCCCGCGGTGGGCACAAACCTTGATCGACTTCTCTGTTATGAGCTTGTCAAGGAGAAAGAATCAGTACCCCATGCCTAGTTTAAAGGCAGAAGCAAGGGATGCCACAAAATCCATTAGGGTAACAGACAACGCCTCCTCGCTACAGGCAGAGGCAGTTGCGATCATGGGAGCCCTAGTCCACGCGTCCCTGAGGGAAGGACACAGACTCCAGGGCAGCCATTGACTGTCTACAGCACAGCTCAGCCAAGGACATCTACCTCCTGACCACTGTGCTTAGCGCAGAGGATTCTCGCTAAGGGTAGAATAATAATCATAAACTGGGTTCCCAGTCACACAGGCATCAGAGGGAACGAGCTTGCCGACAGACTCGCTGACACTGGCAGGGGTATGCCCCCAAATCCAATGATCATACAACCAAGCCGAAAATTTTTGAGGCAGAAGTGCAATACTAAAGCTCATGCCTTCCTCCTGCATCTTCACAGAGAGGAAACGAGATCCTCCCCCTCGGCCAGATGGTACTCAGACGCCACAGGCTATGAGCCACTGGCACTCTCTGAAACAAACAATAGAGGTACCGAAGTCATTCTTCACAGAATCAGACTTGGTTACTATTGCACATGACAGATCATAGAGACAATAGACTATACAGAGAGGTGTTGCATGCATTGTGGCGAGCTGAACGCCACCCTGGTACATTACTTACAGAGTTGTAAGCACACACAATTTCTGAGACAGCCGAAGGGGTAGTAAAGAGATTATGCCACATGCTTACACCATGGCGGCAGTGAGTGCCTGCTGGCGATCCCGCCACGACGGTAAGCATTAAGTGTCAAAGAATAAAATGAGACAGCCATAAATAGCTGACACAGGCCGGGCCATATGTATAGAAGGCCCGGAGGAAGCTAGATCTTCACAAATCTCAGATGAATGAATCTCAAAAAGGGTTAGAAACTGGGCTAAGGTAGGGGACATAGGGGAACGTGAGAAGGAGGAGGATGAATATCTGCAGTCACTTTGAGTGTAGAGGGAATGGGAGCAGAGAGATTGGAGGATAGATGAGGTGTAGCCATTTTATCTTGGATCATGATTAAATAGTTTTGAATGTCTTCGAGAGTTTTTGCAGTGGAGCTGATTTGGGAGGTCTGAGAAACAAAGGTTTTCTTTTGAGGGGAGAAGAGGGGACAGATGTTTGAGGGGTGGAGGGAGATGAAGGAGAGGATGGGGTAGAAGATGGGGTGGAGTATTTAGCTTGTCTTGTTCAAGGAGGAAGAAGGGTAGGTACCGGGGAAGTAGTGACTGAAGTGTCTGAAAAAGTGGTAGAGATTAGGCTGTCTAGATTTTGAATCATAAAAGTATCTGACTAGGAGAGGGAGGGGGTAGAAGTTAGATGAGGAAAAGATACTGTGGGAGAAGTAGAAACATCTTGAGAGAAAAGGGGAGGGGGAGACTGATAGACATTATTGGAGTATGGAGTGAGAGAAAAACCTCCTAGACGTGCTTCCTATCTGGCTTTGCTTAAAGTGAGGCCAAGTTTTAATCTGAGAATTGCCACATCAGGCTTAAACTTGATGCGAGGGCAGCTCCTTTAAAATACATTATGGGAGACGCCAGAATTGACATACGTGCTTGACTGTGCAGAGCAGTTTGATCAATTATGACCAGGTCAGGCACCTAAAGGGCATCCAGCTGTGGAGCAGCACTGATGTGGGGGGGGAAGTTGATATGGTCAGACAGGGAGGGATTCATCACCAATGTAAACATTAAAGGGGAGGTCATGTCTACAAAATGTAATGTTGGGTTTATTGCCTCTACGGCCTCTAAGGGGTATGGTGTACTGATACTGCATCATAGTCCATGAAGCAGGTGAGTAAGTCTTCTCCAAAATCTGACAGGAATGGGTTTGCCAGTGAAGTCAGTTAGGGTTGATAAAGCTACTGCCTGGGATTCGGGTGCAACTGTGACAAGGCGGGAATGGCGAAGGCAGCTGCAGAAGGACACTTAACCTGCTTGTCTTTTGAGGCAATGCTGGAAGAGTAATGTTGTTAAAGTAAGGGGCTGTAGGGGATTATGAAAAATCTATCCCATTTGGCTGGGCTAAATGTAGTGTTCAAGATGTTTGTAGATGTGGGGACAGTAGAAGGACAGGGATGTGTGAAAGAGGTTCAGTGAGGTAGTACTGTGGAATGGTAGACAATAAGGTAGAGAATTGGGGTAATTGAAGAAAGGTGTGGGGGTGGAGGAGATGAAGTAGAGAATGTTGCGAGAAGTGGAATGTTTCCTGGAGATCCAATTTTGATGTGGATGGGTGATTTGGACTGGACTGATGTGATAGTAAGCACTGAGGAGTGTTCAGAGTTGTGATCAAAGGAGAAACTGGGAACAGGGAGAATTGAAATCAGCAGGGCTATCTTAATGGCTATATTAACAGTACTGTCTTCACTTCTGGCCATGATAAGCCTAGGGGAGAGAAATAGTCCAGCCCTCAGGGTTCCCTTGAGGGGCAAGATGATCCACAGCATTGGGTCCGTTTTTGTCTCCTAAGCCCCCCACGGGAACAACCAGCATGGGCCAGTTGACCAGTGAATCCAATTTTTCTTGTAGGAAAGCACTTTCATGCTAGCCTTTGGTTCTAGGAATTTCTGACGAGCACTGAGATTGCTGTTTACAGAACAGTGGATTTCACCAACTTTGAAAGTTTTGAAAGGTCATCATAAATAAAGTAAAACAAAAATATGTGAGGCCTGTTTCCCATTTCCACTTTTCATGTACATTGTAATGTAATGACTTATTCCTAGAATGAAAAACTGCATTTATTATCAACTATGTCGTTAATAATCTATAACCACTATTAAATCTTCTGTTAAATTCTACAATCCTGCAGATTGGAATAAAGGCTGAAATTAAACTATTAAGAGCACTGCAGACATCTCAAAGATTTAAGTCTCATCAAAAAGCCTATGATCTTACTCATAATCAAAATGTAATGGTACTTTACTTTAGTTGGCAGAATGCAAATTATGAGGAGTAAAAAAACATAATTTACAAATAAATGTTCTGATAACTCTTGTTGTTAGAAATGCTACTAAATCACAATTTCTTCTTTTATTTATTTATTATTTTTTTCAACCAAGTTTTTCCTTGAGAAGCAATTGGTGTTTCATATTCACATACACCCTCAGGAATTCAATGGTGGGGTTTAATAAAAGTAATCACTATCTTATAAGATATCTGAACTGGTTTCTTTGTATGCCAGCGTAGATATGAAATATTTAATTATATATACATACATTACAATGGGCAGTGGAAACTATCTGAGGCAATCTTAAATTTGCCAATTTGCACAATATTGAAATAAAAATTGTACAAAAAACTATCTCTTAGCTGCAGAACATTACACAATTCAATTTCTCAACACAAAATATTTGATTCTTATTACTGTACATATTATCATTAAATATTTCCTAACAATCATAAATACATATATTAAATGACAACATATGAAAGTGAAAGAGAAACCAAGTAAAAAAAAAATAAATAAATAAAGTAATACTGCACATCAAAACTCCTTGGTGACAAATGCACAACAGGTAGAAAAATACAAAACACTCCTCCAAACTCGGTCATAAAATACTAGAAAGTATGCACACAAGCCACAACAAACATGTACACATGGACAAAGGATCACCGATCACTGCAACTGATCCACACATACACACACACATGTACACATAAACATACTCATACACATGCACCCACACACTCAAACAACTCAAATGAACACAAATGCATAACAGACAGAAATTCAGGAAGGGTTCCCTTTTGTGTTAAGCTGATTCGTTTTTTTTTGTTTTTTTTTTGACACATTTTACTGTGGTGATATTTTAAGAACAAGTTAGCCTTTCAGTATTGTCAAATTACCAATACCACTTTCACATTTTCTGTACACCCCTTGGTGAACCCTAACTGAATATTTTCTGGATTAAATTTTGACTTAAGGCAAAGGAAAAAGGGAAAAATGCTAGTCTGTCTTTTGAGATTATGTAAAATAAAAGGAGTGTCTGATACTGTATCATGAAATTAAGAGAATCCATCCTCACTACATAAATGATGCATCAAACTATTTATTCTAAAAAAATATATAATTTGGGTATCTGTAAAAGTGATGTATATTTAAAGTTACACTTCTAAATCCTCTTACATATGCCCATTCAATCTTCAGGAACTTTCTGCTTTGAATCTTGTACCTTTTGTACTGACAGTATCAAAAGTGTCACAGGCAGATAAGATACAGTTATAAGTGTTATGTGAATATCTTCACATAGCTCTATAATGTTTTCAGTGTTTGGAATGCAGAAGATTGGGACTAACAATAGATAAAACATACACTGTTTTCTTTTTTTAAATTGCAGTAAGTTTTATGAAATGTCTTTCTACATTCTTGAGGTAACATGGATGGTGTATTAATCCTGTAAAGGTAACAATAATCTTGAGTTTTTGGTGAATGAGTTGCAGCTTAAATTAATGCCCATTCTTTTAATTTACTGACCAAAGTTTTATGTCAGTTTTCTAGAGACAAGTATTTCTCCTACCTCAGCCAGATAATGCAGTCTAGGAGGTAACTCAAAAAAGTCACTGTAGATGGGTCTCTGGGACTAGTTTATGCTTGAGAGTGTTAAAATAGGAAAATGCATATAATCCACATAATATAAGTTTCTAGAAATAAAGTATATGCATATAATATTCTGAATATCATAAAAGCTAGAAGCTACCTTGAGTATCTTTGATCTCACACAATGAGTAGATTATAGACAAATACAGAAGCACACACACATAAAGCATAAACAAAAAACACACAAGCATTAATATTGTATGCATGCAGACATGCAGACCTGTATCCCCCCGACACACACTTACACACACTCACACAAACACACATACACGCACATGCACACCCACAGAAAATCTTATTTGATAAGATTGTGAATCCTAAATTAACTTTGATCTACAGACTAATTTAACATACTCTTGATTCATGGCAGGTTGTTACTGTAATGGTCCAGATTTTTTTTCTAGAAATTTTACCAAAGGGGTCACTAAACACATATATTAGTGTCACTATTAAGAAATGTACTTTTCTTCTCAATGTCCAAAAAACACTTGAGTTACCTCAAGAATATAAGGGTTATGAGTTATTGAGATTTTATGGAGAACTATAAACTATCCTCTGGGTATAAATCATGCATGGCAGCAGAAGGAAGAGACAAGAGAGCATAACTGCAAAAATACTTTGTTCCAGATGTCAGTATGCTCTCAGCTCCTGGCACTAGTCCCCAGCCACTGCCAACCATAATGAAGCAATTATCACGCATAAATGTGAAATTGTCATTTTTTCCAATTATAATGATATGCTCATTATTTGCCAGAGCCACAGTTTTATATTTGGCTTCTAGTGGGATTTGGAGCTTAGTCATGGAGGTCCAGCCCATCTGTGACTCTTTGAAGAGCGTTTCTGTGCCTGTTACTTTGGTGCGACCCTGAGCACTGGGGCACTCCAGTGGTCTTATGCCTCCAATCACGTAAATATCTCCTTTATGATTAACTGCTGCTGCCTGCCTTCTCCTTTCTTTCAGCTGAGGACCAGCTACCCAAATCTGTGAAAAGATAAGTGTACACAGCACTTTTATATTTCCAAGATGAACCTACATAAATGCACTGTACATATCATAAATCTATGTCAACTTTACTTAATGTGTAGAATGTCTTCCTTAATTTTTTTCATGTAGTAAAATGTCATTTGGGTAATCAATTTTCTTAACATGTACACTCTAATTATAAAAGAATTTTAGCCAAAGATACCTATGCTACTAATACAACACTACTGTAATGTAAATTACAAACCTTCTGTAGAAAGGAATTACATCCTAACATATAAATTAGCTCCAACTAATAATTGAAGAAACCTAATTTACAGATTAAAGATGCTTTTTGGTATTTAATAATTAAACATTCTTAATTATTAAGAAAGATAAACTTTGCTGATTTTTAAAAAAAATTTGGAGACTTTACTATTACTGAGTGAACTGGAACTATTAGAATAAAATATCCCCTAGTGATATTATTATCTAAACACAGCAATTTAAAACCACGTTAACATTTACTCTGTAATTTCTCCAAGGTTTGAAATTTTGCCACTTGAGTCTATATATTGTATTCATAAAGGCAGAATATAATTTAACTGTAATTCAATTCTACTAAGGGTTTTACTCAAAAACATTTTTACATTTCCAAATTTTAGAATTACCTCTTCTTTAATGCAGAAAATCTCCACAGCATCCAACACCCTATAATATGGGCTTCCATCTGGTAATTCAATCCAAGGAGAACCTCCAATAAAGTATATTTTTCCATCGCTCACTGCCAAAGCTGCTCCATGCCTCATATTTGGAATTGGTGGAAGTGATCTCCACTTATTGGCATATATATCAAATTCTTCAAAGTTTGTTATTTGTAGTTCACTCTGAAAGAAATCAAATCAATAGAAGAATTGGTTATATATAAAAAGGAAAAAAATAAGCACATGTGCTACAAATAAATTATTTGATAAGACTATACAATCTATATTAATTCTCCATAAGGAGACAGTAATTCCTTGTGAGAATTATATATCAATGCTGTATACTAGAACAATGGTTCATAATGTTTACCTCATTAATATCACATCCACCTGTTACATACAGCTTTCCTGCATAAGATACAACCATAGGCAGAAAACATGCAAATGGCATTGGAGCCATCAGTGTCCAGCTATTGGAGAGTGGGTCATATCGCTGTACATCATTTTTAGCTTCTCCACTCTTGTTGCCTCCACCAAGAGCAAAGAGATACCCACCTATAAATAGATAATAATAGTAATAATAATATAATGAAAATAATATTAAACTAATAGAAAAAAGAACTTTTTCAAGAAAATAAAATATAAAAATAAAAACAGTGTCAACAAGTGAGGGCAAATAGGGCTAATGACTGACTCCTAGTGACTATACACTTGTGGAGACATCTATGTGTGAAACAATACAAATAAAACAAAACCTTAGCAGTTGGAGCTAGTTCCCAGCATCGACATGTTAACCACTACCCACCTATCCACTTTTGTACTACATATGATTATCTAAAATTCATACATGAAATATTAAATATGAAATAATAAAACAAGGACTAATCATTAAGAGTAACCATACATAATTCTTACTTACCTTCCACAACAAGTGTTGGTTTAATTCTCGGGATACACATGGGCGGCAGTTTAACATGGGATCCGGAATATTTGCCTGAACTCAGGATATCCACCAAATATATACCACCTTCATCATCCCCGCATGCAAGGACTGTTTTGGTGCCTCTTTCCCTGATGGATCTAATTCTCCTGGTCTTCTTCAGGGCATCAAGCACCATCATAGCTCCTGGGGAGTCCCATGGTGGCGTGGCAGCTCTCAGATCTTGTAAAGCCCTTTGAAACTTAGGATCATACTTTAAGTCTGCAGATTCTCGCAAGCAGCATGTCACTAGGGATCTAGAAATGTACATTTCCTAATTGTAATACACCTGCATCAGAATATCATTTCCAAATATATTCAACACTACTTTTATCTTCAGTAGTTTACATCATATTCATTTCTGATTTAAAAAAAGACTTACTCCACATCAGGTGATTTCAGCTGGTTGGTATTTAGCCATACCACTAGAGCTGTGAGAATATCTAATTCTGATTTAACTGCAAGTCCATCTTGTGACAAGAGGTCTTTTAAACGTTCCTCACTCAGGTTACGAAACTCTTCTGTTCGTACAACTTCCCTGCAATAATCATTAATATCTTTAACCTGATTTTAAGTATATTCAACTGGAAAAGTGTCAGCCAAACATTGTCACTTTCATGAATGTCTACAATGATTGCTGTTTAATAATCTTTAAATACTAGATGCATCACAATATTTACATACTAAGGCTGCTTGGTTTAGTTTCTGTTAAGAAATGATAAATACTGAACAATGGTTTATACTGAGTCCAGAAGTCTTTGGCCTGATCCACACCCTTAGGGTAATACCCAACTCAAACTTGTATTTTGCCAAATCTAAAATTAACAAAATGTTCTTCAACATCACTTACCTGTACTTAAAATGCTGGCAAATAAAATCTTTAGTAAAGCATACAAGTCTTGGACATGAAAATCTCTGAGCTAGTTCAAGTATGCCCAGACAATTTTCTGCTTCAATAATACTCATCAGGTACTGGACACACAGCTCCTGAAGTAAGGCAAAGAAAAGGTAATTAAAAATAAAGTTTATCTGAAATTAAGTCCTTAAATTCCTTGTTACTTAATTATAGGCTTAATTAAAGGAAAGATAAACTAGAAATTACTGTTTTGTTTTTTACTGTCCATGAAACTAACTTGAAACAACATTGGGCAACAGAATAATGTACTATAGTTTTAAATTGGCTGTAAAAATGCAGCTAAGCCTAGGAACTAAAGGGCCAAATAAATTTTTATTTATAACTTTGCTATTTCCTAAATAATTTACCATAGTAATGTTAATATGCAAACAGTTTTAAGTACATGAAGGAGCCTCCAATGGCCATAAAACCTGAAAGCCTAATAAGTTGAAATAACATAGTTTGTCAAAAAGCACAGTGTTAAAAAAATGCAAATTTACCTATCACAGTATCCTAATGAAATTAACCATAATTCCTGTTTATGATGTGTATTACAGCTGTAAAGATTCCTCTGCCTTCCAGGACAGTCAAACCAGCTTTGAAATTATATATTTTTCCACATCAAGATGATAAGAAAAGAAGAGCTGGAGGAAATAATGCTTCAGACAATATCATTTGAGAAATAAGAACTCACTTTCAGCTCAGTCATTAGTAGGAGATCACTGGCTTGTAATATGTCTTGGATATTTTCAAAGTCTAGAACAATGTGACCAGTATAGATGAAATCAAGGATGACTTCAAAGGTTTTACATGTGATTTCTAACATTGGCTC